CAGAAAGGGCCTAGAGAGTGAGACGGGGAGAGTGAGTCTGGGACAGAGTAGACACTCACAGTGAAAGTGCGAATCTTGCAGGGGTATTCCACCCCCCCAGGCAGATAGATGGGAATCCTCCTGGAGGTCTTTCCAACCTGTGGAGAAGAAGCGACAGTACAGATGGCTGGAATCTCACTCTATGCTACAAAGAAGCTTCATATTTTGTAACCCATAATACACCTCTGCTTCATTCACACTCAGAGGAGGTGTTGATGTTGATTTAGAACTCAGCCAGGAGGCGATCAATTTGTTTTCTGATCCAACAAAAGATTTGTATTAAATTGCATGTCAAAATGAGAAATGACAACTTAAAACCTTAATGAAAACTCCTGTTAACAGCACACAATCGTGTACACGTCTGTTAAACAAGCCTATCATGCAACTCCCAACACCTTGTTGTTCTGTGTGTAGTCTAGTATGAAATATTCTTATGTACTTGTATGTAGTTTAACTGATTTTCTAAGCTTAATGTTTCATATATCTTAGTTTGTTACATTGTGACATTCAGTATTCAGACTTTGATCTGCTGAGACATCAAGGGCTGTACAAAACAATTAAGCCTTTTTTTAAAAACTCTTTCATAGAATAAAAAGAGCCAACAAACACAAGTGAATGAGCTGTTCCTCCTTCATTTTCAAGAGATGTTTTTAGATTGGCATTCTGTTGTAAGTTTGATGTACCCAGTGTCCTGTCTGAATCCAAGTCCAGTGCTCATTTTTTTAGACTTAAAGATCCATCCACCTGCCAGTCACAAATGCCAAATTAATAAACTTAGGCTCACAATGTTTTTTTATTTTTTTATTTTGAACCCTCTCCTTTCAAAATCAATAATACATTGTCAATTTGACTTGATGGGATAGGTACTGGCTCCCCAGCAACCCTGTATTGAATAAAGTAGGATTGCATGGCTTGACACAACCACAGCCCCCTCTGTGTCACCACAATGTGAAAAAGACTTGAGCACCATCTCCGCTTACACTGTGCCATGCTTCTCTGATTGACACACTGTCATGCCTTGTACTGCCCCATTTGGAAGATCTGGGGAAGCAGGATCTCTCTCTCTGAAACCACTGCAATCTTGGCACATTCAATCCCAGGGGCTATGTGGGACACTTGGCATTGTCACAGCATCCTTGAGTAAAAGCAAATTCTATATATGATTTCTGTCAAGTTTTCCAAGCTCCCCTCTCACCAGGAAGGCTTCCATCTCCAAATTGGAAGGAACATATCTCCGACCTCCGTGGATGAGAGAGCGCTTAAGGTTCTGCTCACAGTTGCGAGCCATTTCTGGAACACAAAGAGAGAAGATACTAAGCCCAGTGTCAAATCCAATAAAACAAAATACTACAGTTGTATTTATTTTTATTAATTCATGCTTATGCATAGTTGCTGTGTGGATTTAGGTAAATGTGTCCTGATTATTGAAAACGTAATAGCTGCAATTCTTATTCCCAGCACAATGTACTTTGTCAGCTTTCTAGCATCTTTCAATAATTAATAACGAAACAGTAAATATTTGGGGCCACTGTTTATTATGTTGTTGGTACCTAATCATTTCCTAGAATCATCTTTCTGGTCAGAAATCACAAAGAACAAGTGCACAAAGTTCTGGAAGCAGTAGAAAATGGCCGCCACTCTGGTCAAGCTACCTTGGAAACTGTGTCCGGGGTCACTGGCAATGTCACGCAGATGTCGGGTGACATATGGCCGCAGCGTGCTTGAGCAGGGGAAGAAGCCCGTCACTAAGTTCAGGAGCCGCCAACCCCGGGTACAGCTCTCCCTGCAGACATAATTGTGCCTACAGTCATTCACACGCTTGGAAAGCATCGGAGTCAATATACCCAAAAAAGGTGCCAAGATCTCTACAAGGGTGCCTCACACAAACACACTGAGTCAAATACACACACTAGAGTGCACACATAAGAGTGCAATAAATACCATTAGCGTGCACATAGAATTGACTGCGCTGAACTGTCACAGTCTCCGAAGATCTTGATTACAGCACAGTAACAATTCTGCATTGTCAGAGAGTACCACTATAGAGTACAGACGCACACCAGGAGTGTGTGCAGTGACTGTAACAAATCCACATTGTCAGCAGTTCTTGCTGTGCTGCACAGTTATACAAAGTGTCCAAGGGTTGGAACTTACTTGTGAGGGTTGAGTGTGGTCTGCTTGATGATCTGACAGTAGATCTCATCCCTTAGACTCTCTTTCTCCTTGCCGAGCTACACACACATAGTTAGGAGGCATGTTGTGAAACTTGCAGGCTGTTTAAGGCACCAAGTCAGCAATATGCTCAATTTTAGTGAGCTGAGGATGGGACTGGTGGCAGACAACTAATGGTCACTTACTGACGTTCTTCAAAGTCACTACCTGGTTAGATCTTTACATCTACTAAAAAGCTCGTATGAAGGCCATTGAAAACACCTGCACTACGGTTTCATGATTGGCATACACAATTTAGAGGACAAAGGAAAAGTATGGCCTATATCAAATCAAAACTTCAACACACCTGCAAATCACAAATTCCAAAATGTACCTTGACAGTGGTTCATGCTTTCCCAGGGAGTTCATGCATCTACCCATTGGATGGATGTTAGCCCATTATGCCTTCTGGCAAACACCTTGCCCTGCCCTGTCCTTAGCTGCAGCCTAACCCTTCATCTAAAGTCAGTAGGTCAGAGATAGGCGGCAGTGATGGTGAATTCAGATACTGGATAGTAAAATGACAAAGAGGCAATATGAAAGAAGAGACTGACCTGCAGGATGCTTTTCACATAGTCTCCCTCACCCTGCTGCTTCATCAAGGGCTGGTCCCCCATGAAACGCATCACATCTGCAAGGAAACACAGAAGACTGGGATGAAGAAAACCTGAGACTATAGAAATGCCAAGTAAAGCTCACCTGTAAAGGATTTTAAAAATGCAATCACAAAGTTTATTTAAATGATGGAACAGAACATACACTTGTGGAGAGTATTAATAGCATTGATGAGCAGGCCTGATATATAAGGGTTTCAGACTGTCAATGGGCGTGTACTCACTTGAGAAGCATTGTGCAGCTAGCTCATTGAGTTCATTGTCTGAGTAGAAGATCAGTGACTCCTGGATAGGAACCTGTGAGAGAGAAAGGGAGGAGAGAAAGAATGAGAGAGATGAATTGGATTCACAGAAGGCTAAGTCATTAATACAAAGAGGTGAGATTTTGTAAAGAGGGTGTGGTCCTCTCAACAGGGTTACTATCACATGATCCTTCTCACAGATCTTTAGTTACTCTGTCCTGGACATTACTATAATTCTGTGAGAGACCAGAATAATCCTGGTGGGAAAGTGGAGTGGAGTTGAACTTGGAGATAGGAGAAAACAGAGGTGGCTGGAAATGAACACAGAGCAAGAGGAGGCCAGAGAAGGAGACATAGAAGGCACTTAGGAAAGAGCCCTTCTATTGAGCAAGAGATGATATACAGATGACAAGGCACTTTCCCTTAATTCTGTGACACTCTGATGCAGCTACTAATTCCTGTATACTTCCTACTGCAGATGATCACTTTAAAAATTACCATTAGGAGGAACAAGGTCTTCTAAAGGAAAGGAATTTAAGCATCAAGTTTCTCCTAGTTAGAGGAAGATGACACAGCATTCATTAAAGGGCCAATATCCATTAGAAAATGCTGCCCCAGTTAAAGGAAGACAACTGAATAAAAGCAAAGGTTCTGAGTTTACATGCAGAGTCTGGACAGACATACTGAATGAAAAATGTGCAGGGTACATTTTGGTCTTGGTCACATGGAGAAACGGAGCTGGTGAAGGATTCTAAATACAAACAAGAGATAGGCTCCCATAGAGGATGGGAGACAAGAGACTGAAAAATGCCCTGAGTAAGAATGGCTGATGATATGGACTAGGAGATGCCAAACCTACCTTCGTGTACTGGACCATCTCAGATGAGCTCCTTCCTTCAGCACTCAGTCCCTTCCAGCCCATCCTGCAGACAGAAAAGGAAAACTGCTTTGAGCTAACACTAACTACACTCAGAGCACCACTGCACTCAAGAACACAGTTAGATAACAGCTAATCTAGGAAACTTTCTGATGCTTCAGCAGAAAATCACAAAACTAATAAGTTTTTGTATGTTTTTAATTTTGATCAGACCTTCCTGCAGGAAAGGCAATCTGTTGAAAAACATCTTTCTTTGCCCTGGTCACATCAGTAGGCCATTATTCTGTGGGTGTACCTTCCAATCAATATTGTCCTCCTCTTGTATAAATTCTGAACAAATGAAGCACTCACTTGATGGCAGCCTCTCTGAAGTACTTCATGGCGAATTCGGTCATGATATACTGGGTGACATCACTGTCAGATCCTGGCAGTGACCCCTCCCTCTCAAGCCCTGATGCCATGCTGGGTGCCTGAGTCTGCAACAATAGCCCACAGGGGTCAGCACTGGCCAGACATATTCTTTAAGGTAAAATGTCACTGTCTCCACACCTATTGAAGAATATACACTCTTCAGTAGAAAATCTGAATTCACTATCTTTCCAATCTATTGCAGATTTTTGCCACAACCAGCAGACCTCTACAAAAGAGTGGATTATATAAATAATTGAGAAATAATATGATCCATGTAGCGGTTGAGGTACTGGTAGTCTTAAAGTTCTGCAACGGAGTGAAATGGAGGGACAGGCAAGCCCTGATGTACAATTACCCCCCCTCACAAGAATTACGAGCCGGTATTTCTCCTTGCTTCCTGTTTCTGCCTAGAGGAGCAGCTTTTCAGTTAATGCTGCCATTCTTCAGGAACGACTCACTATACCTCACCCATCAGTCCTATGAAAGCTACTGCACTTGTCAAGAGAAAATATTTTAACCTGGAATTCTACAGTACTTTGAGGTTTGAGAGCTATGACTAATCCTGGATCACACCAGCTAAGTATAAGGGTAACGCCTTTCAAATGGTTAATTGTCTTAATAACATTTCCCATCACCCCCAAGCAACATCCCTTTGGATCAGATTGGAGATTCTAATAGCCTTGTTCTCATTTTATTTTATTGCAATTACTTTTGCAGGAGCAATAATGCTTCAGTTTGACGAAGTAACAGTTCTTAATGTTACAGTAGCAGGTGAACATTAAGATATTCTAGTGAATAAGGTGAGTTAGTTACTGTGTGAAAGCTTTGTCAACATGAGGTCAGATCAAAGACCTACACTGGACTGTGCACGAGGGTCTGGTCCATTATTTCCCTGTCCCATGCCTAACTGAAGCCTGAGTGGAACCATTTTGCAGAAAGCCAGTCCTGTCTGAAGGGCTGTGGGTAAGATGGTTGACTCACCAAGGGTTTCTCTGGGTCTGCTTTGCCTTGTGTCTGTTTGGGCTGAGCCATGCGGGGTGCTGTCCTCACGCTTTTCCTGAGCTCCTCTCGTCGGTCCAAATGGGAGCTATAATAGTCTGGGGGAGCAGCAGGCTGGGTGATCTCCGAGGGGAAGAGGCCAGAGCGCCCACCGATGGAGCCAAACTGCCAGCCTGCCAGCAACACAGGACACACATCACTGCCACTGGATTGTGACAAATGTACTGAGGGTCTTTGAAACACTAGACTAAGTGTTTGTTGGTAGCACTGCGGCATGGTAGTTAGCACTTCTTCTTCATAGTACCTGGGTCCTGGGTCCAATTCCACCCTGAGGTGCTTGCCTGTATGTGTCCTCCCTGCATTCTGGGGGATGTTTGCTAGGTTCCTCAGCAATTTAATGTCAGAAATAATGCTATGGCCATCCATTAGTCTCAGTAAAATCAGGGTCAAATGCATCAGCGTGCAGAGTTCTGTGTTTTACAGCAGTGTGTTTGTGTGAAATGTGTCTGTTAGATGCATGCAAGAGCATGGAAAGTGGAATGTGATAATTGTCACAGAATACAAATGAGCAGAATGAGGAAAAATAGTAACTCCTCACCTGGCTCCAGCCCCTCCATGTGCAGAAGCTTAATGATGTCACCCTTGCGGAAGTTGAGCAGGCTTCTGTCATCCGTGACAAAGCTCTGGAGAGCGATCACATGATCTGAGTCCTGGGAAATGGGAGGAGAGATGGGGAAACAAGCCATCAGGGTTTCTCATGCTGCATCACCAATGTGGGTGGCTTCTACAGTTTTGTTTTTGTAATTTGAGCTTGTATGCACTTTTATCAAACTATCAAACAACTAAAAAAAAAGATGTTTGTAAAATGCACCTGATTAAAACACCTGAAAACTACTTGAGCAATTTCTATTTGTGGAGTTTGTGGTGTTAGAGCTGCAGGTGTGTGCTAACTGACTAGTGAATGGGCACTGTAATTCTGGGGAAGTCTGTGCCAGCTTCTAGAACAAAATGGGGTAAACATGAGTGTAATAGTCCAAAGTGATGCTTGTCCTCTTAACATCATTTTATGCATTTTGCCTCTTAAAGCTTAAAGCTTAGCATTCCATGTTTTAGGAATTTGGGCAGCATGATGGAGTAGTGGTTTGCATTTCTGCCTCGCAGTACTGGGGCCCTACTTTCAATTTTGGACCTGGGGTGCTATTGGCATGGAGTAATTGTTTTTTGGAAAAACTGGCGCTGGCATGAGTGTGTCTATGTCTGACACACATGTCTGTGTCCGCGTGTGTTCTCGAGATGGATTGGAGTCCCATCCAGGTTGTATCCTGCCTTGCACTTGTTACTTGGTGAGATGGATTCCAGCTCCCCTGTGACCCAGAATTGGATGAAGTGGTTCGAAAATGGAAGGGTAGATGACGAAGTGGGTGATGGACTGATGTGAATGCAGGGATCAGGTTGCAAAGCTAGAAAGAGGACCTTCAACACAGAGAGATCCAGATCCAGTGATCCAATCTGGTCACCAGGTTTACAGCATAGTGCCTAGCTTTGAAAATTGAAAGTGAAAGGGCTCCATCTGCTCAAGATGTATGTTGACCCCTAGGAAGAGAGGCATGCACCCCAAAAGAGGTGAAGAGCAATTCACAAGGCCACCACCATCAACAGGGGAAAAGAGGAACAATCAGTTCTCATATTAAAACCCACAGAGCATTTCATAGTCATAAAAGTACCACAATGAAATCTGTACTGAGCACAGATCTCTTCCAAGTTTAGGAAGCCGGATGCGTGGGGTGAGAAAGGGTTACCTTGAGCAGTTCCGAAAGGAAGAGGCGGACCATAGCATTGATCTGAGGGGCACGGTGAGAATGAAGCGTCAGCTGGTCGTTCTTCAGAGCAAACTCTACAGTGTTACTGCCTTTCAGGTCCACCGACAGCACCTCTGCATAGCTGAGCACAGAGGAAGGGGAGACAGTCAGGATTTCCCAGAAGTTCAACCCAACAGTACAAGAGACAACATCTTGTACTGTTGGGTTTTCTGCACTTCGTTTCCAGAATTCCCACAACTATCCAACATGTAAAACAGGTCACTGGACACTCACAGTGCAGACTGAGCTCTAGAGCCAAGATATTGCTGATCTTGCTTGTCTCTTCTAGGCTATGTTATGAACTGCATGTGACAAGGATTTCCTAGGTGATGTGTTTGATTGGAGCAGAAACGACTGAGTAATATGGAAAGGTAAAAGGAGAAGGAGGTGGAAGACAGGGTGTGTAAGAAAGACAGTGTGAGAGGTATGAGAGAAAGAGAAGTGGTGTGAAAGAAAGTATGAGAGAAAGAGTGTGAAAAGGTATGAAATAATGTGGGGCGAGTGGGGTTGAGGATGACAGACAGAGTATTTGACATGGAGAGAGACTTTGATATACAGAGACAGATAGGGGGGCATATAGGTGCCACTGGAGTCTGACCTGTAGCTGCGCAGCACCTTGAGGTGTTTGGGGTTGATGCCTGAGGCCTTGACCACCCGGAGCAGCCGGATGCCACGGTGCGAGACCCCCAGAAGCTGAATATCGCCTCTGTTGCCTCCCTGACAGAGAGACAAGGATGTAGGGGATAAGGTGGCATAAGAATTACAACAGAAAGGATGTCATGACTTTCTAAATCCTAACCGTATATCGGGCACCGCCATGGGCCTCATGGTACTAGGACAAAGATAGCACACAGCATGATCAAAGGGTCTGAAAAGTCAGATGCTCTCAATGGGTTTCACCCAGGATTCCACTTATATGTGCACTCCATTCCAGTTGTGGAAAAGCTGATGCACAGCCTTGGCACTCACAGTAATTGGGAAGAGGCGTGAGAAGTAGGTGGCCCAGTTGTCCCGGGCTGCCAGCACGATCCTCTTCTTCATGGCATCGTCCTGCAGGGAGCTGATGCTGCTGCCCACGTGGAAACTGGCTGTAAGCAAGAAGGGAAGAGGTTACAGAGCAGTATCCCCTTGTGGGCTTCGCTTCATGCTGAGACCTCGTGGCCAGCTGGTTGCAACACAATCGTGGTGCTTCAGAGGAGATTTTACATTTGGAATTTATTTGTTTCCCCCCACAAGCATGGTGGAAGATGTAGTCCAGCAGACCTACTGAGACTACCTCTTGAACCCACGATCTCATTCATTCGGTCACTACCCAAAGTTCATGACCATAGGTGAGGACGGGATAAATCAGATCTAAGCAGTAACATGGAAGCTCAGTGGGACTTCACTAGTCCAAGAAAGAGTCACTCCAGAGCAGCAAACCAGAAAGGTTGATAACCTCAACCCCACCCAACCTTTTGTGCTCCAGTCCCAGTCATAGGTGAACCCAAATCCACAGTTGTAATTTGTGGTCAACAGGGCAGAACCTCAGCTCCCATTTAGACCCTGGATCACTCAGGAGCTCCATCTGTATATTTTTCAGTGCCCGTCCCTCCACTCTCCCAAAAGGCAGAGCTCTCACCCAGCAAGTCCCTCATCTTGCGACGCTCCTCTCGGGTAATGCGGATGCAGGAGTCCGAGAAAGTGTCCCTCATGATCTGTTGAAGAAAGTTGTCTTGAATTAAGTGGGCCCATTAGGCTCCCATTTGCTTTTTTATCCAATTCAAAGAGCAAGCTATAAAGTTACAAAAAATGCAGTGTACAATGGCACCATGGTTTGCTAAGGTATTTTAAGTCTTAGCAGAATCTGATCATAAACCTTTGGGGATTTAACTCTTGTAGCTCTTGCACAATAAGTCATTTTCAGTTTGCCCATCAATCAAATAAATAAAAATGCCAGTATCAATCACAGTCTACTCCTTTTTCCAACAAATGTCCTTCAAATGCGTGTTCCCACTATACACGCCTAACAGTAAAAGGATTGTTACTAGTTTTTGTTACTAATTTATTTGACTGAAGCTTTTGTCAATAGCAACTTTTTGTTTCCATTCACTGTACATAGAGTTTGTTCTTTTTTCTCAGATGAAGTATTTGTTTCACAGGCTCAGCGGCAGTGTCTCATTTGGTATTTTAAACCATAATCTCCCAGTTATGGATCCAGAACCTTAACTACTGCTGTACATGGCTGCCCCAGGGCAACATGGATTGCCTCTTACCTGCTCACATAACAGGTTTAGAATATAGGGGTTGTTGAACTTCTCTCTGGGGTAGAACACCTGGAAAGAGAAAACAGGCAGCATACTGACAAACAGTCCATTAGACACCTGAAATAGAAACCTGTCATAGAAAGAGATGAAGACAAAAATCCATCCATCCATTTTCCAAACATTCTATCCAATACAGGCAGCCGGAGCCTATCCCAGCAGGCAGAGGGGTGCAAGGCAGGCACACTAGACGGTCCATTGCAGGACACGCAAATACAAATGCTTACATTCACACCAGGGCCAATTTTCCCAGAAGCCAATGAACATACCAGTATGCCTTTGCACTATGGGAGGAAACTGAAGTACACAGAGGAAACCTATACAAATATGGGGAGAACATACAAACTTCACATAGATAGCACCCTAGGAATTAAACCCAAGGTCCCAGTGCTCTGAGGCAGCAATGCTAACCACTGCAGCACCCTGCAACCCACAAATACAAAGAGCAGCCATAACTCCTGCCACAGGTATTCTTTGTTTCTCTTTTCCTATACTTACCTCTTTGCGAAGAAACAGCCTGCCTGGCATGTTGTTGTAGGAGAAATACACACTGGCTGAAAACTTGTACAGCTGAGAGCGGATGTTGTCATCACGTATGGCTTTAGGCACCTGACCTGTAAAACACATCAGAGAGACCATCACTTCTGCATGCTGCTTCAAAACATTTACCTCAGGCCTTTAAAACATTCATTACACAAAATAGATATGCAGTCTGAATTTGAACATTTGGAGGTCCATAAGCTTTCACTCAGGCCAGCTTAGTTTACTTGAGATCACAAGGAGTTGTAAATGGTTAATGAATAACTTTTACTCTTTCCTTAAGTACATTTAATAGAAAATGATCCAACTCGAAGGTTTAGTTACAGTATGCTGACCGTTTCTAGAATCAGTAAAACTTCTGCCCCTTCTATGCTACTCCTATTAGTTACTAAACTTTGTCCTTCTTCAGCCCAAGGTGTTTTTCCGTTTCTTACTTGGTAAATGCTAAAGTACTCAATAGCTTTAGTAAAAAAAAAATTAAAACATCATCTACTTCCCTTTCATTTTCCATAAAAATCTCATTATTAACTTTGAGACTTCATCTGTTAGTGTTTCAAAATGTCTGCTCATAGAACATTTGAACCAAGCCCTTCTAAAGTGGCAGGCTGCCAAGTCTAGTTAAATATTAAGGAATACAACAAAACCCGAGAACAGAAAACAAAGCTTTCAAGGTCTACAAAAATACATCACAGTAATGTAATAGTGTGTTATGAACACAATAGAGATTCCAGCTGAAATATCTATGCACTACCAGCATGCAATCCAACAGATGTCAGATATACTGTATAGAGGAAGGGTCTGGAATGAGACTTAATTAACCTCTCTAATACATGCAGGAAGTTCTGTCTAGGTCTTATAATGCAGGAAGACCATTTTCCTTCTAGACCAAGAATCTCAAACTCATGATATTTGCTTTTTTTCACAGAATACATTCATCGAACATCCTCTTCAACATTATGAGCAAAGGAAGAGAACAGTAGGTTCAGGCAAATTGGCAGATCTTCTCTACATTCGACTTTTCTGGGGGAACTGCCCCAGAAGGTAGTGAGGCAATGACTTTCATCACACACCTGACCTACTGCAGGAAGACCATTGGTCTGGTGACAGTTTAAAACCAGAAAGGAGAGGCTTTCTGCATTGTTCAATATCTGATGTCTAGGAGAAGAAATCAGGCCTTGCACCGGTAGAAAGACATAACTTAAGTTCAAAAACCATACGTTTGAGTTTTGTGGAAGAATTTTGTTTTAGGTGCCCATAAGCATCTTAGCCGACTGGTTATGACTGGTTATGTGTAGAGAGGAAGGTTTTGAAGAACTTTAGTTAGAACTTGAATAAGAGTTACTGTAGGCTTCTGTTTGTGTTTCCCTTTAGGTTTCCCTCAGTAAATAAATAGCACATTTACCACCTTACGCTGTGTATGTGTTGCCTGAGACCAGCCTATTTAAAAGAGACTCATTACTGTGTGGCTTTTGGGCAGTATCACAATAAGTAGATGCCATCCTGCTACATAACAAAAACGTGTGATAAACTGTATTGAGATCACATGCAATAAAGAACTCTAACATTTAAAATGGAGAACACGGGCCACTTATTTACACTCACAGGGCTGTGGGAATAAGCTACTCAAGGATGCTGCTGTAGCAGATGCCCTGACGTCCTCTAAGAAACAGCTCAATAAGATTCTAGGATTGTTTACTGGGCTAGCAACCAAACAAAGTGGATCTGATTGGCCAGTTCTTGTTTGTATCCCTTTCTATGCTACAAGCTGAATCTGTGCATTCTGTTCTGCTTTCCCCTCCCTGTCCGGAATATGAGAAGAGTATATCCTCTCCTGGGTATTGCCACATTAGGCTCTCTCCTTGGTCATTGTGTTGAGTCAGCAGGTCAGCAGTGACATTGTGCACAAATCAATGCTGGAATAGCTCCAGTCATGCTTTGTCCTTTTACAGGGTATGAGCAAGACCTAAATATTATGGCTACAACCTTAAAAACAATTTTGTAGAAGGGGTAGTACTGAATCTGAACCTGAACCCCATTTAACTGGAAATAGAGGAATTCTTTTACGGATTTATCCAAGACATTCCTGTGACCCTGGATGAGTTCATTTCATTAGCAATTGAGATCCCATTACATACAAAGAAAAACTGCAGATAAAATCATTTTCCTTTTCAAACGGACACTGCTTCAACATCTAGCACCATCGGTCGTTTTCTCATTTCTCAAGAGAACTGCTCATCCAAGGTAAATCTGTACGAAGACGCAAATGATAAAAACGATTTTAAAAGTGAAGATTTGCCTGTAATGGTACTCACTTGGGGCTGGAATTGCTGGTGGGGGAGGGATTGGAATGTCAGGGGGTGGAGCCTGTTCTGCCTTTTGAAGGGGTGAGGGAGGAGCTGAAGAGCGAGTGGAGCCGAAAAGGTCAGCCAGTGAGCGCTGCTTCTGCTTCATACTGCTGGAGATGGACCGTGGACCCCTGGTAGGCAGGGCAGGAGCAGGAGGTGGAGCGGCAGGGGGCGGGGCTACAGGGGGCGGGGCCATCCGTTTTTCAGGCTGTGCAGGAGAAGATCCTACAAACTTCTGTAAGAGCAAGAGATGAAAACAGTTGACATGGAAATCAACCAGATCCCATCCACAGAAACAGTAATAGGTTTGTCAATAGTACGCAGATCTTCCATGTACACCATAACAATAATAGAAGTGTAGAAAGAACTGCACACTGAACATTTTAAGTTGGTAGCTTAAACAAACCTTATTCTCAGAAGTTTAACATTTTTTTTATCAATTAAAAACCAACAAATACTTCATGTCATAAAGTTGGCATCATGGAATTTGTTTACCTTTTCACCAGCTATCTGTATGAAGATCCTCTCACATCTTCCTTACTGAGATTAAAAGCGATTTTAGCATGCTCTCGGTATAACACATTAAGGAGAGAACAGATGAGTGAGACAGCACTCACCTGTGGTGGGACAGCAGGTCCCTGCATCCTCAGAATGGCCAATGCCTCCTCCTTGGGGTCTTTCTTCTTTACAAAGCACTTGGCAGGCACTCTGTAGGAAAGTACACAGGTGCTCAGATGTAGATCCTTCCCAATTAGCAAGCACAGGGCCTTCCAGCTCTTGTTCATTTATCCAAGATAAAGGTTTTACATGCTCCTATCAATATAACTGTAAATGCTTTCACTTAATTGTCAGGTTTCCAAGATGATTTAATATGATTTGATTGTTTTCCACTGTTGCAATCAGGAACAGCAATTTTAAATGATTTCTAAATATGAGTAAATGCCTGTTAATTCACTCCTCAAAGAACCAAGCTGCCCGTAGGATGTGACCTTAATGTTACCTTCTGCTATGAGGATGAGCAAATACTAAGGAAAGAAAGCAGAAACCTCTTTATTACTGTCCATTTACAGTACAGTAGTTATACAGTATTACATACTATAGTCAAAAGTCAGTTGTTACTTCTTTCTTTATTGAACAGGAATATTTTTCTGAAGGGCTATACAATTAGACTGGTCATATCTACACTAGAGTTCACAAGGTCATGTTTTATAATGCAGTTTGGTTTAAGATTCATTTTTAAGGACAGGTTCTTTAAGTTAATTACAGCATATTTAACACGAAGGAGAAACCCCTGCATTCACGTTTTGTATTCAAAACTGTATTTTACACATAATCCCCTTGAAAGGTGGATTCTGTCTTTGCTTTCAGACAAAATCTATTGCACTGTATTAATTCTGTGATTCAGGCCAAGCGAAAACTTAATATACTGTATCTTATACAGCTTTCTGAATCTGTTGGGGAAAATAGCTCTTCCTTTCCCTTGTGACTTCAAACTGACCTGACAGGCTCAAATGGTTTTGGCTCTGGAATAGGACGGTTCTGGTACTGTTTGATAATCTCACGAATCTCACGGCTAGGCTCAGGTTTAGGGGCGATGGCTGGTGGATTCTTCTTTGCAGATATTTTTGTGCTTTCCTTCTTAGCCTCTTTCTTTTCTGGTCTTTCAGCTGCTTTTTCTGAAGATGGCAGAGAGAAAAAGACAAGAAAGAGGCATTTTGTAACAAAGCCATTTCTACACAATAAAACCTGAAATACCAACTTCAAAAATTGTGATAGGGCAGCAGATCCAAACAAAATGGTAGCTTCTGTCAGAACGACATTCCCCAGAAAGCTGTGGGGGAATAACCTGCCATCCTCAGTCATCTGACCAGCAAGAAGAAGGTCATTTAAACACCAGAAAGGAGACTTACAGGGTTATACTGTACCTCTGCTGTCTTGTGACAGAGGGAAGATCCATGTGAGTGTGTTACCCCACTGGAAGAAGGAGATGAGTGAATAATGAATGGCCAACAGATGGGTCCATGGAAAGTGAGTTTTGCAAGAGTCTCAGGAAAAAAAAGTATTTAATTGGGAAAGAGTTTCAAAGAGAGAAACCTGTTTGGAGGTGGTATGTGTCTTAACTGCCTGGTTAATATTAAAGAGGGACTTTGAAGATGTCTAGTTAGTAGCTCATTGGGGAGCTTGGATTTTGTTTTTCTAATTTGTTCGAGCTTTCACTGTAAATAAAAGAATACTATTTTTACCTTTAAGCTGCATTTGGGTCTGTTTTCCTCTGACTCAGCTATTAAAAGATGGCTGTTACAGAACAACAACTGGGTTGGTTTCCCATTTGAGATTACTGATCACATACTGTAGTAATCAAGTCTTGTAACCAAGACCTGTAGAGGGGACTCTCACCTTCTGGTTTTAGTGTCTCCTGGAGATTAGGAGGCTCTGGAGGTGTTTCAGGAGGGTCTTTCTGCTCCACTTGGATGGCAGGAGGTGTCTGGGACCTTCTGGCTTTGAAAGAAGGGTTGATCTTTGCCACACGAACTTCCTGGGCACCTGGAGGAGGAGCACCAGGAGAAACAACACTAGACATTTTCCACTCCAAGTGCAGGCACACCAAAAGGGAACCCATTTCAGTTTGTAATGGAGAGATCTGATGCAGATCCACTACCCTGACGACTGATCATGTCAAAGGTCAAAAACTAAGAATGGATTTAATCATTATCAGGACACATCACCCACCAATCCTCTGGAAAAACTCTCTCTTCTCCTGAAAGGAGTCCAGCTGTTCGGGGCTGGACAGATCAAGTTCTGGTACCACCTGTCAAAACAGATACAAGTTACAGATATTGAGCTCTCTACATTATAAAAATGTTGTTTGCTGATCTTAACTCTGTTATTTTTGGTAGCTGTAACAGTTTAGGCCTTTATAAAAAGAAGGTTAAAGAAAGCCCAAGCAACACCGTTGTGGCAGTTTCAACAGATAACATGCTACAGCTGCTACAGCTGATTATTATTGGGGATTTTCTTGTGCTGCAGAAGAATTTAAGCTTCAAGAAAGAATTTTGGAAATTATTTTTCAGATTGTCTTGGATGATGATCCTCCCCACCATCTTTCCTAGCATGATTCAATTGCAAAGGCCAAGGGAGTTCATGTTCAACTGCCTCTGAATAGATGTTCTCTGCGGCCCACTCCTGCAGTTGTTGGAGAGTTGTAGGAGATCCATGCCCCAGCCACAGATTTCTGCACACCGAAAATAAATGCTTTCTGTCGTCTGTCCTAACGCAGGAGGCAGACGTCATGTGCAGTGATGCCCTCTGGTGTAAAGTGGTCTCACCTCAGGCTCTGGGCTTCTCCGCTGGACAGATGGGGGCTTAGGGGAAGGGGTCCTGCTCCTACTGGTCTTTGTTTTGGGGGCAGTGGGGGGTGGCGGGGGTTGCTGCTGCGGTTGTCTCTGCTGCTGATGATCTTCCTGTTGTCGCTGCTGCTGTTGCAGCTGTCGCCGTTGCTGCTCCTGCTGCTGCTGCTGAGACAAGGTCATTGCCTGGAGGGTCATCTGCTGAGCCTGTGGAAGACACACAGATGGACAGGCTTATCTACGGTCCATATGAAGACTGTGCAAAAAAGAAAAAGTGTATCAACTAGTTCAAGCACAACCACAACTGGGAGCCAATTTTCTTAATATAGAACAGGCTTAAATCTTTTTTTTTGTCTGTTTTCTCTAGGGATCTGATATTTACAATTGCCATCAATTTATCTATCTAAAGCTTTCATCTGTTAAGAGGGTCTCTGTGAACTTTGAACACACTTTTCCTGCAGAAGATGCAATATTTTATAAGGTGGACATTCAGAATTGGATTAGAAGAATGCTGGACACAAGGCCTACTATGTAATTCTATCCTGTTATAAAGGAATGCGTGCTACGAACCTAAGTAACCAATTGTATTAAAATAAGTTATCTTTAGGAAATAGGGAGGTAGGAAGATGTGTGTGATTTTGGAACACTGCCAATCTTGTAAGCACAGGGAAGCGCGACAGATAACAGAACAATATTTAAGGACTGTTCTAGTTAAATTACCTTGAGAAAAATACACTGAGCATCCCTGTATGTTTCGCTCCCATATGCATGAAATAAAAACTTTTTTTTAACCTTTGAGACGGACTCCTTAAGGTGAAACGGGGAAAACTTTCTCCAACAAATCCACGGTGATTTTGAATCAAATTATACCATTGTATTTCCAAATACAAAACTGTGAGGAACAAACACAAAGTCCGAGATGTAACCACAGTAAATGAGGAACAAGAATGTGATACACTAATCCTGATCAGGTTTATTACCTACACATCACAGGAAAGTCTACTAAAGGTGTTAGATTTTAAGGGGCTGGTGATGCCGGCAAACAGAAGACACAGATTAAAGATCTTAAAGACCTTGAAGAGCTGATGATGCAGTAAAATCCCTTCCAAAATATGTCTCTTTTTGTGCTAAGAAGTCTTTCTTTTTCATTTAGGTTTGCTAGAATAGCTTGTTTGAATGGCACGTAGACACTAAGAAATTCCTGATTGTAGACTAAGTGCAGATTCCTGCTGTTCTAATAGTCCTGTACCACAAATGGGTAGTGACCAGTCTGGGGCAGCTGCCTGCTGCTCACACCCACCAGGAGTAGAGCCTGCTGGTTGATGAAGGCCTGCTGTTGTGCTGCCACTTGACTGGGGTCCAAGGCTGGCACAGCTGGAGGGGCAGCCGCAGGCATCATCATAGCTGGGGGGAGAGATTCAGATAAGTAAAAGTGGGAAGAAGTGGTAGGAAGATTGGAAAGAACCTCTGTAAAGCCACCAGTGGATTCTGTATTCCCATTAGCAACATTCTGAGACAGGACTGGGGTCGGAAGATGTCCCTGGGCTGAGAGAAACCTGCTTTAATCTTTATTAATCTTGATTAATTAGCATCTAATTGAAAAATCAATTGGTGGTTATGGGTTGATAACCATTGGATGCTCAGGCATTTGAACATCTCTACTTAAAAAAAAGTATAATCACAGAGCACATTCAAATGAACTGAATCCCAGCTCAAACTGAAGCATCTGACTGTGTTCCCTGAACTAAGATGTAGAATATGTAGTATACACAGCATCACGCATCAGATTTGCATTCCGAAGAAGCTGAGATCAGCAATATTTGGTGGAAAACATTTTGTTAGATATGAGAGGAAAGCACTTCAAGTTAGCATATCAAGGTGGCAACCAACAGACCAGCTGCAGCTCCAGCCTCCAGCATCACATGACACACCATCATGCCTTCACAATGTTGGCAATTTCCTGAATGTATAGAGTACGCATATTCTATAGGAGCTGATGCACAGGAGAGGTATCTTATACAAGCATGCCCATACAAATGGAGTGCAATTGCTCAGGTTCAATGACTGGGCAAACATATTGCATGATCAGGCTTACATGGTTGCATCACTGGCATAGAGGGCATGACTGGCATCATGCCACCCATTGGTGGAATGGAGGGGTAAGCGGGCATTTGTGGAGTCACTGGCATACCTGGTTTGAAGAGACACGGCAGACATGAAGCACAGGTTAGAGGAGAATCATCTAGGCACAGACCCTTTCAGAAATTACCCATCCATAGCTAGAAACTGCTGAAATCCTTAATACAGACTGTGTTATTACAGAAACTCACAGAAGGAGAATGCAAACAAATGCAATCCCATTTACAGTATCCACAGTAGATAACAGTAGTATGAATGCAGCATATAAACATGTAATTAAAAAAAGCATATGTCTTAGAGACAGACTAAAATCAGAACAATATAACATGCCTTGTAAACAGTAAAACCAAGGATGGTTGAGGCCCCCAAAGTACTGCAAGGAACACCACATACCTCCAGAAATACAACCAACTGGGAGAAGCAAAAATATAAGGGTGTGGGTGGAAAGCAAAAGATCCATGACAAGCATTTGGTTTCAAGTACTCGAATTGCTATTATACCCTTAGCATGGAACTTCACTGCAATTAACTCAGCAGTATATAATAGATGTGTGTCTGTATTCACTGGAGGAATTCTTTATGATGGACTTGTCTGGGAAGATGGAGAGCTGATCCATTACCAGTCTAGGAACAGCCTCTCAGTTAAATCTTAACTGAATGTTTTGAAGATGCCTGATGTAAAAACTCTGCACTCACCCATAGGGTAGCCAGGCATAGTCATTGGAACACCTGTAAAAGAATATCAGTCTGAGAACAATGGACAAACTGCTCCATTCTGATCTGTTGAGTAAAATGCTGTTTTGCTAATGCTGAATGTGTGGGAGAATGTGCATAGTGTATTAAACATATACATAAATGTTTTATAAAATATTAATGGATTTTTGTCTATTTCAATGACAGGAATTGATTCTCTTATTTAGACAGGATACTAATTTAATATCATACCTGTAAACACTAGTATACAAAAACTAATGGAAAGACAAAATGAAATTTGTGGGAACTAAAAAATTGTCCAATGCATGACAACTTCCCAAAACAGAGCGTGGCACTGGGTACCTGTGGTAGGAAACATCCCAGGCTGTGTAGGGCCTATCCCTCCTCCTCCTTTCATTCTGTGGTTCAACATGCTTGCTCTCTCCATGTCCTTGAAAAAAAGTCAAGGTGCAGAAAGACTGGATAAATACAACTGTTCCTGGGTGTCTTGGTGATTGGACTGCACACACAAAAAGGGCTTGTGGTCAGCAGGTTCTAATCTTCTAGCTTCAGCGTCTTAAAGCTCATGAATTACTGCCAGGCTAACTGTTTTCACATCATAGTGTACAGCAGGGCTTGTCAGAAGCCCACAAAAGACAGTTGCTCCAAAATCTAGAAAAGGAAACAGCTGTTATAGGTGGACCTTGTGCACACCTCAGGTGTACAGTAAGGGGCAAATGGTGTGAGGTGAGTTGATAGTGTTTGTTTTTCTGGTTACTGTTACCAACCGGAGGCCCTTGGCCAAGCACAGGATCAAACAGGTTATCCAGATAGGAGTCCATATGTCCTGGGGGGCGTCTCTGGGGGGCATAGCCTGTAAAGAGAATGGGAAGGGTATTAGCACATCATCACATAAAGTAAGAATTAAGTAAGAAGTTACTGGAACTGTAATATGAATACTGTATATTTATACAGTATATCATATTTCTAAGAATCTGCATGGGTCACTGTGTCACCATGGTGGGGACTGCACCAGAAAATAAAATGTCATGCGAATTAAAACTGATTTAATGCTATCATTTCAGAGATATATTACAAATCTAATGAAATGAAAATATATTTCCATTGTCACAGCAGTACCTAAGAGCAAAAAATCACAATAACCTTATGGATTTCAGCTTCCCTTCCATATATTTGTCTCCCTATAATCTTTTGCGTCAGAGTAGCACAAGTGGCAATACAGGATAAAAACATAAATCAACTGAGTAAAGAGTTTTACCATCATAACCAGAGGAGGAGGTCTGGGCATCCCAGGTGCCCTGCTCTGAGGGGTACAGATCTGGGGGCAGTGAGGGCGCTTGCATGGTTGGTGCAGGAGGGATGAAGTCATTCAGGTCTGAGGTCATGTCCCTGACAGGGAAACAATGCACAGCAGCAAAGACAACAAGAGTTCACAGCTTGTTTCACAATAACTCCTAAACTGCTGTGAACTGATTCTGAGGAATTGATACACGATTATTCAAGGTCCATTAATCATGCAAAAGAAAATCCAGGTATGTTAATTGTAGGATGGCAAGAGGTGCAGTGATTAGTACTGCTGCCCTGCAGTGCTGGGGCCTGGGGTTCAATCCCTGGGGTGCCCAGACTTTCTGGGAAATCTGGCCCTAATGTGAGTGTGTGTTTTAGCATCTGTGTGTGCCCTGGAATGGACTGGCATCCCATTCAATGTGTATACTGGCTTCCATCTGTTGCTCACCAAGACAGGCCCCAGCTCCCCCATGACCCCATATGGGATAAAGCGTTTAGAAAATGAATGGATGGATTTTACTTGTAACAGAGCAGCTTGTGCAAGGTATGAATGTTTTTTAAATCTGCTAGCATTTCGGAAAGAGAAACATTCTGAGAATGTTTAAGAGGAAACTTCCATGAACACCTTCACGATGGACACTACAGCCCTGCTATAGTGTGTGTGTGGGTGTGTGGGTGTGTGGGTGTGTGTGTGGGCGGTGGAGAACGTACATGTCTCCTTCAGAGGTAAAGAGGTAGTCGGGGACAGGGCCCTGTATCTGTGAGCTCTTGGCCTCCACCTCCCCGATCAGGTCCATTACAAAGTCACAGCCCGCCATGTCCTTCCAGTCCTCTCCGGTGAAGAGAGACAGTGACCAGCCCCTAGGGGGCTCTGGCAACCCCCTGAAAAACAGCCGGCTGGCAATGAGAAAGTGGTTTGAGGACTGTTTACCCATGCCAAAATAATGCCCAGCTCACATCTTGGGCCAATGTGCGGTGCCCCATTTGGATTGAATTTCATCAACATCGATCATAACGAGATTACTCGTTCAGTCCGTCAGGTTCAACTGTTGTCACTTTAACAAACTTTTTGGGTGATGTAAGTCAAAGGAAACAGGCATGCCCATTTCAAAACTGCTTACATTTTGCCCATGCTTTTTACAAAATAACATTTTCATTGTTAGGTTTTAGGATTTAGCACCATGGCATTTTTTCTTTTACGTCAGACAGGCAGGAAATAATTTCTAAAGCTACAATTCAACTCCTTTTTCTTCTTAATAGGCACTGCTATGTTTTACAGAGGCGTTACGATGCTTGAGTATAGCTGTAAAGGTGGAAATAAAAACCGCTCGCACAGGGGCCCTACTGAAAAGGAACAGCACCTTCACTTATTTCACAGACATCAGTGTGAAGTGAAACTTTGATTAAAACCAGAGACTCTGAGTTAAGAAGGTTGACAAAAGAAGCTGACAAGGTTGATCAGGCTTACCTGAAGTGGAGGACCCAGGAGCACAGCTGCTCTCCTGTGGTCCAGGACTCCACTTCTGCTGTCAGCGACTCTTCTATAGAGGAGAGGGACAAGAATGATGTGGTGTACAGTATGGCTAGTACCATCATGCTGACATGCAGTTACCATTTGCAACCACTGGAAGCACATAAGTACTCTGAGCTAAACAATTTTGCTATAAACAGATTAACTTGGAAACTCCGTACCAGGTCTCTTGCTCAGCCCTTTTTTACATAGCTAAGTGTCTGTTGACCATCAGAGTTCATGTGTAAGAATTCTGTATAATACTTTGGCAGGTTTATGGTATTTCCAGCTTTCTTATAGTTTTTACCATGTAATGACATACGACACTTGAACACGTTCTGTGGAATTTGTCAAGGTGACGGTTAATGAAATCCTCAATGTCCTAAATGAGGAGTAACCAAATGTATATTAATACCATCCATTCACTTGGTGTGACCATGGTTTCTCACAGTCTGTTCACTGCCTCACACTGCCATACATACTGTAGTGCTCAATACTCTAACTGTAGTTCACTGCACTTTACACTGTTTTTACCATAATAAAGCACAGTACCCATTTCTAAAGCCCACTCCTTCAGCAGACTCAATCCAGCACCTGAGCGCCTCTCACCGTTGTAAGTGTGAACATCAAGCACCATCTTTCCTTTCCTGTGATTAGCTGTCCACTCCAGCTGCGTGGGCGGCTGCTCTCTGCAGGCAGGGGCCGGGTGCTGCAGGCCGGTCAGGACCTTGTGCTGGCAGACTGAGCGGTACTCCCCCGGGGCCTGGTCCGACACGTACCTGCGGGCAACGCCACCACCCCACACAGGTCACGGCAGCAGCATCCAACCCTCTCCACCAACCCCCCTGTCCTCCGCCCCTCCAGAGCTGTCTGCAAGCTGCTAAGAAATTATTTACAATTCCTCCGCCTTGCTAAGAAATGTAAATTAGCAGCTCCAGGCATATGAAACAGTTTTCATGATCCTTGTCGCTACTCCATATCTTATCTTACAAGGTCCACATTAATAAAATAAACACCTGACAGCATGCATTAAACCACACCGGCTGCAATAGCAGCTCCATTAAAAACAAACTGGAAATTATAAATCTAGGAGAACCATTTATGTGCGTCACAGGACAAGTCCTGTTCTCAAAAGTCAGAATCCTTCAGGTTTCGCCCCTGCTTTTCAGTTTGCAACTAAATCTACTGGGTTTTCCAATGGATTAGCTCAATTGTGCAACTGATATCAGAGGTGGAATGAAAGCAGAGAACCCTGTTGCGCTTGAGGAGTGGGTTTGTTCATACATGGTGCACAGATGGGCATGAAGCACAGTACCCATTTCAACCTAGCACCTGAGCGGTTCTCACCATTGGAAGTGTGAACCTCTTGAAAGTTCCACAGTAATGAAATAAACACCTGCCAGCATGCATTTAACCATAATGACTGTAATAGCAGTTGTGCCCAGCTTCCCGATCAGAATGATGTTCTGCAAGTGTGCTCTTGACCAGACCTGATGGCACCTGTCAGGCACAGAGAACATCAGCAATGGGTGATGCCTACTTGAGCAGGGGTTTGTCCAGGCCTGGTGAGGGCATGAAGGTACCCAGGGAGGTGGCCAGGAGCAGCCAAGCCCGCAGCCTCCTCTCATCGTCCGCCTGGCTCCAGCTCTGGTGTACCAGCTGGCAGAGGATCTCGTCCCGCAGCGGGGGGCGATCCAGACCCCGCTTAACGATGTAGTTCCCCAAGATCATCATCCACCAGTCCCGCAGGTCTGCAGCCCCCACAAACCGCAGGATCTATGAGGTGCCGGAGGCAGGATGAGAAGATAAAAACAGAGAACGTTACAATTTGCTCTGTGCTTTCTGAGAGAAACAGCAAACAGTCAAAGATGCAAATCTTGCAATAGATTTTAAGAAACATTTTTGCAGTTGAACAGCTCAGAGGAACTAGTTTCAAAGTTAGACTGGAGCCAGTTGTTCCTTTATATATGCTTCATTACGTGGCTGATTTAGGAAAGAGAATGGATTAAAACAGTTTCCACTGTCATTCTGAAATCAAAATCATTACTAAAGAAAAGACTGCTGTTGAGGCTGTTATTTAACCCAATATTTTAGTTTTCTCAAACTTCAATAATTCTCAATCAAACAAACGGGTTTGCCTAAATAATTATATTATGTTATGTAAATGATTAGACCAAATGTACTTGTGTTTCTATTAATTTAGTTTGCACCTTTATCCAAATCAATTTATATTCAATAGTAAAAATAAACATCAAAACATTAACAGAAAAAAAACTACATAATGATGCAGAGATCACTATCTTGCTTAATAGTAACCAAAAAGGATACAGAAATGACTGCAGGTAGAATAAAAATTAAAAATTGGTTCTAAATAAACAGACAGTTTTAAATATTTGAGATTGAAGAGCAGAAGACCAATTTGATCCAGACTTCAGTAATGTGCTGTCAGTAATGTTCAGTAATGACCTAATCCAGCTGTTATCTTTGCCTAGGTCTGCAAGAAGTTGTGTCACACTGACCAGTTTGTAGATTTCCAGTGCACTGCGGGCATCTTCTGGATCCAGAGGGGTTAGGGGACTCTGAAGAGGGTAGTCCTGGGACTGTAGCCAGCCATCCTGAGTGAGGGAGAGAGAAGAGAAAGGGATAAAAGTGGAAGAGAAGGAGAACAGAAGACAAGGAGATGATGATGGAGACAGTGGCTGTGGGGAAGAGAGGTACACTAGGAATGTCATGGAGAGAGAAAGTGATAGCATGAGAAAGACAAATTGTGACCGTGGGACAGCACAGGTGTGGGCTTTACCTTGAGATGGGAACTGGCGTATTTGGAAAAGGGGTGGCTGTTGATGTCATGGGGCAAGGACAGGCTGTGCTCGGCTTTGACCTGTGGGGGCGCTACTTCAGTCACCCTGCCCTCCAAGCCACGTTGCCGCCCTGTGGCACAGACCAAACAGAGACATCAGCACACCCGGCACACAGCAGCATGGCCAGTTTCACTGCTTCACTGGACAGGGCTACTGTCCAGGGTTACGATCATAAATAAGGTCCCTGAGGTGGTCCTGCAAAACTGGCTACATCCCACATGAGCTGCGTCTGCTGGGACTCTGATAGGCTGTCTTACAGCATTCCATTGAACTTGAAGGGCTGCAAACTGGAATTTGCCTTACAGCAAAAGCTGCCAGCTACCTGAAAGCTTATAACCAGATAGTTCCATAATATTGCACATAACGCAGTCTACATAGATGAGTTACTTAAGTGCTAGCAAAATGTTCTTTGTGTGTGAAAATTTTAATTATATAAAATCGTCTTTTAAGAACATAAAAAACATTATAAATCAGGAGGCCATTCAGTCCATATAGCCCATTTGGGATATAGTATCTAACTGACCTGAGGATCTCAACAGCCATGTAAGAAGCCAGGATATCAGCTTCAACAGCTTAGCTAAGCAAATTGCTCCAGACTCCCACAACCCATTTTATCTCTGCCTGTGACACTCTTGACCTGTAAACTAGTCACGAAGAGTCGTCAAACAGTCTTTTCTAATACAAATACGCCCTACAACACTAAGACTCAAACATGCGATTTAAATATTATGTTCTTAGGAAACAAATGTAAGTTACTCACTACAATAACTGCCATCTCACTATAGCACAATTACAGTTTTGCTGGCTCAAAAGCCAAAAGGGCATCCCTTAAATCAAAAAGAACACCAAGGCTTTTAACTAAAATAGCACAGCTGGTTTCTGATCCATGGCTAAAAACTTTTAATGTTGCCAGCATAGCTATCCTATAAACAGTAGATGACTGAGCTAAGGGGCAGCAAAGAGATGTTAAATATGAAACTGACTTCTTTTTAAAACCGGTGGGCCTACTATTTTTCTGTCAGATTACTAAACTCTGTACAAACAAATGACAGAGCCACAAATATCCATGAAATTGTCTAGGCAGAAAAAAACTTCATGATCATCACTATCAAAAACGCCCTCAATACAATGAGCATACTGATAAAACCATAATCAGCTGAGGGATCTGAATCATTCGGAGCCAATTCTGGGTGGGCTTGGTGTGGGCCTTCTCAACATGGGGTCTCAGCAATTGATTCTAATCCAGTCCTTAATGCTTAATCACTATATGCTGATTATAGACTCTTCTGTCAATGGGTACTTCTGGTCAATGGCACCACTAGAGACTTTTTCATGAACAATTACAGCTTTCCAGCTATACTTTCCATGTTATAACAAGTACCTTATGCCAATGTTAAGGGACCAACTAGTTTAATCAGAAGCTAAGCAATGTATGTTCCATCCTGTACTGTCAAAATCTAGAGCTCTACCACAACGAATCTCTGGACATTTCAGAAAATTGGAACGGATACAAACCTAACCCTTTTTCCCTGGAACTACAAGATAACCACAGTGCCAAGCTTCAGTTACAGTGAAATGGACTTGCTCAAATACAAAGACACACCAGCGTCACAAACAGACTGACACAGACAGGCTCCCACACTCACTCTCAGCAGTCCGCAGCTGGGCAGAGAGTTCAGCCGGAATCTCTAGTACACTAACATCCTGAAACAAATGATAAGGCACAGGTGAGGGAGAGAGACATCAGGCATCAAAAGTAGGAGGCCAGAGACATTATGTGACAGTGATTTCATTGTGGTAGAAGAAATATATTCAAGGAAAAGAGTCCAGAGACTGAGTGTGCATGTAGACAGAAACTATAGACTGTATAGAGAGGTATACAGTACATACAGAAGGACTGAGTCTTAAGAAATATTTGTACAGCTTAACCATGTGCGCAGGTGAACAGGAGGAGAAAAAGTACTCTTAAGTATTCATCCACACTGATTTTTAAAAGATTAAGGAGGTTCACTCAATGCTCTCAAAGCACAGTGTCCATGTTTGAAAGTGCAAGTAGTTTTCAACCCATTTCACAATCCCAAAAACTGTTTTCTTAATTGCTGTTTGATATCTTATTGCTTTCATTAATTTGCTTTGTTTTAATTTGCAATCATATTTGCTTTGTTTTTTTTGTCAAATTTTCACTTCTCAAACACATTAAGGACCTGATTCAGTTCTTGAACGTGTGGAATGTTTTGACAAATAGGGACGTGCAACTTCAGTATAGGTGTTGTTCTTCAGTCATATTTTAACACTATATACAATTCAATTCAATTTATTTTTATACAGTATAGCACCTTTCACATCAAGGTTGCCCCAAGGCACTTAACAATACAATTGACAATACATTTTGAATGATCATCAATGAGTTACAAATACTTTCCTTATAGTTTCGCTTAATTTCTTCAAAGTAACTGGCTGAATGAAACTTTAGATTCTACAGTATATTATCCATCCTTCTCATCACCTAAGAAACACTTTTTCCCCAGTAAGGGGAGCATGAACCCAGAGTCTATTCTTCAACACAGTGTTCAAAGACTACACCCTGGATGGAACACCAGTCAACACACCCAGGTATACTATTATAAGAAAAATACAAATGCAGAAGCCAAATTCATGTATTATGATCTAAAATGCATGTTACTGAGTCGTAGTGCTGGCCACGTGAGAGACTGAAGACCCTTACCATCCCTGCAGTGGCAGGCTTGGCTCTGCTTCGGGACCTCTCTTGATTCTTCTCTGTGTGTTCCTGGGAGGAGAGATAAAGGGATCATCACTCACACAGACACGGACCAGAGAAAACCAAAAGAAAGCACAGAGAGGCAGCCACCCCTAGAGAACATCAGAGCCATTTAGGATTCTGCATCAGCCTCTGCTTACTATCCTGCCACAGAGAAACAGTTGCAATGAAGAGATTTCATAAAAGAACGTTTGGTGTGATACTCAGAAATAATGGCATGCATACACTATGATCCATCCATCTTCTTACCACTTCATCCAGTTCAGGGTAGTGGGGAGCCAGAGCCTATGCTGGCAAGCAATGGGCACAAGGTAGGATACACCCTGAATGGGTCAGTACACTGGGGGGCACACTCACTAGGGCCAATTTTCTCCATACCCAATTAACCAACAAGAATGTGTTTGGGTTGTGTGAACCTACAAACTCCACACAGATAGCACCTCAGGTCCAGAATTGAACCCCGGGCCCCAGCGCTGCAAGCCAACAATAAATCACCACTGTGCCACTGTGACGACTCCATACAGTGCAATGTTAAAACAATGAAATCTCAGGACTAATTGGAGAGCCATACTGAAACATTGTTAAAGAAAAACAAATTAATGAGAAAATGTGTCAAACTGTGTGCAATTACCATAAAAAAGTACTATGGTACACTTTTTTAAAAAGGGAACATCTGTCTGCCCTGTACAAAGATATACCACTTTGCAAAAGAAAAGTGGACACCCACCCATTTCTCAAATTCCAAATCCCACGAAAGGCAAAAACAAACATTGAGTAACGTGGGAAACTTATCCAGACAAAAGATTTCAAATGTTAATAATGATGAATAACTCTAAACGGAAGTGCTTTGTTGAGTGCTGCTTTAACCAACTGTAGAGTTCTGTCTTCAGGAGTCGATGAGATTAATATGACTAAAACAAATCAGTCATTTAAGTCTTAAGTCTTAAGTCTTAAGTCTTTTAAGATGGTCATTTTAAAGATCCAATTGATTCAATGTTCTGTTGGTATAAAATGTTTTTTTAGATCTAGACAAAATGGTTATATTTTCCAGCTAATCAAAAATATATCTTAAAATAACTGAAATAATTCTTAATTAAATAGAATGAGTGACAGCAGATTAACAGCAAGACAATGCAATTAATTAACAATTATGATTTAAGACTTGACAATAAAATAAGATTGCATTGGTTCCCAACAGACATAAAGTATCAATTAAGCCAATTTGACTTTAAAACATTATATTTTCCTACAGTATATACTTCTTTAAGATCTTATATTTTCCCTGTCCGCCTTATCTAGAAGACAGCTGATGGTTCAGATCATCAACAGCAGAAGCTGAGTATCCTGCAGTCCTCTAGTTTATCATATCTGTTCTATTAGCATCCATCCATTTTCTAACTGCTTCATCCAATTCAGGGATGTGAGGGAACAGAGGTCTACCCCAGCAAGCAATGGGCACCAGGCAGGATACACCCAGGATGGGCCAACAGGCCATCAGGGGACACACACTCAATTCAAGGCCACTTTTCTCAGAAGCCAATTAAACTACCAGGATGTTTTTGGACTGTTGGAGGAATCCGGAGCACATGAAGAAAATCCAAGCGAACACAATGAGAAAATACAAACTCTACACAGGTAGCAACCCCAGGTCCATAATTGAACACAACTGCCCCAGGGCTCTGAATCAGCAATGCCACTCACTGAGCCACTATGCCACCCCTCTTTATGAGCATGTACTGGACTATTCCATTTATCTGCAGAAAGCTATCAAAGTTCCTTGGCCTATTCAAACAGCTCTATATGAAAACTGCAGCATAGTGGCAATACAATTTTGTTTGTGGACAAATAGCACTGTGTGGTTAATGGGCACTGAACAGCTTCAGAAAGCTGTGCCCTGATTCGGCAGACCACCATTGGCACAAATACTGGACACACTGTGTCAATATAACATTCCTGGTGTTCGCTTTGTTCCCCATTGTCTCATTTACATGAGCATGAATGTTTACATGTATTATTTTTCACAATAACCTATGTTGTTAACATTATTTCACTGTCATTGTCAGCAGTGTATTCATTTTTGCAATTGAAAGTTAATGTTATTTTAAAATCCCATAGGCTGACAGCTCTGTATGGACAAGTTAACAGGTGTCTATACATCTCAATAGGGGTTATTCTGTATTGCTTTCTATGGTACAATAACATTTATTTCACCTGGGTAATCTTAAACATCTTCAGAGCTGCCAAGACTGCACTGTCGAAAATCTAGTTAGTCGTTCCTTATCTTATCCTGTCATTATGGCTCCATTCCGTGTAAGCTGGGTTTGTAAATTACGTTGTGATTTGATCGTGAAAAAGGCATTTCTCATATTCTGAATCTCCAGGTGTGTGTTGTGTTACTAAATGTAGAACATTACATCATAGATAGTTCTAAATAAATCACTGTAATTGGTACTGGGCGTATTAGGGAAAGTTATCATTGGTGTTATGGCAACAGATGGCCAGAAAACGATGCCACATGTTGACACAGGGAGTCCATGGACTTTGTTCCAATTAAAAACCAGGATGTTACCAGTTCACGCCCAAGTCTTGCAGACATTCATCCAGAGAGAAAAACTGAGACAGAGACAGAGGTTTACTCAGAATCAGAATGTGGCGGCCATTAGCTAGTGTCATGGAGCCCAGAGAAATAAATACTCACCTGCATGCCAGGTCCCACGTTGTCATCACATGATTTATTGTCAGCAGATGATGCACGCAGAAAAAAAGGGAGGCACATAATCAATAAAAATATCCACATCCAATGTTACGTTTTGTCTAACTGGATTATGTACACCAGCTTGTGTTGCTGGTGTAGCAGAGCTCTGCTTGCTCCACGTTCAAATCGAATCAAGCAAATTTGTGATTGTTTGGACCCAAACAAGTGGGAGGGACATTGTGTTTAAGTAAGTGTCTGTACCCTGGGTTAGTAGTTTTACTGTAGAGATAGCTGGAGAGGACAGTAAGTTAATGGTTGATGGAAGTGGCGAGCACAGTGGAGCTGGAAGACGTGCTGCTATTTAGTTTTGACACACTACCTAATTAACCCTGGTTTTCATCACACTCAGTCATCAAATAACTGGTGTCTATTGTGCCACCTAGCATGCATGGGAGCTCCACATTATCCAGACCATTACAGTTGTTATTGGAAACCTGCTGGCCATGGTTATTAGGATTAGATGGCGATGTAAGGGAGTCCCCATTACCTGTAAAGTGCTGTAAAGCGCAGTATAAGTTTAAGGAATTATTATTATTAAAATCAATTACTAGAGGAACCTGAGATCATGTTATTTTTGATCCAAAGAAAGCCCTTAATTGGTACACAAATGATCTAATTAACAGTTGAAGATTTTGAACATCTTGGGAAGGTCTCGACAAAATTGATTATTTAAAACTGCCCTAGCTCCAGGAGTAGTAGATTTGAAATGTTTTCATGTCACTCACTAGAAGTAGTAGATGTTTTAAGCTTGTCAAAAATCTAAAACAACATTTTTGTATAAAAGAGACAGTGATGTGGGCTGTGACAAAAGCCAGAGGACCCCTCGGGGTCTCCCTAATGTGTGAAATCCAGTGCTTTAGCTGTTGCAGTTTCATATGGCCTGTATGCAGGTCTATAAGTGTGGCCGAATCATTTCAACAACAGAGATCTATCTGCGTGCACTTCCAATGAAAGTGCCACTGTATGAGTCCTGACACAGTGGCCTTTATGACTAGACAGTCACCTGCAGGAGTGTACAGTGTGCATAAGCTCTGCCTTTCCAATCACTACTAACACAGCTAGAATTGTCCTTCTCTAGTTCACAGTGTGTGCAGCAGAGGCTGGATTCTTGACACACTCTGATAATGCTACTGTATATTAGTCTTAACATTCCCAGGCTGGGGTATCTATCTATAAACAAAGTTTATTTTGTCTGGTTGCTCAGTAACTCACACACTCAAGAACCTCTTTATCCCAGAGTCCCAGGGCTCCTCCTGCTGGATTCCAGAGAATCAGCTTAAGTACATGGCAGTCCTGCTTATTCCAGTCATTTTGAAAAAGTGCACACATTGCTGAAGATTCCTGAGTGACCAAACCAGTAAACACGCTCAGCTGATTGTTGTGACACAGATGTTTGAGCCTAGGTCATGTCACCAGATAACTGACTGGGTTTCCCCATGTGGTGGCACACAATTGGAAGCACGGCTTGACAAGGGCAGTGAGTAGTCGGCCAGAAACATCTTGGCTTTTGACAAACTTGCATGTGATGTCAGCGAGAGTCATGCTGCTCCTCCAATAACCTCCAACCCTCCATGCAAGGAACTTTGGAGCTTGCAACATGTCAAGAGAGAAATGTTTCTAACTAGTAGGTAACTGGATGACCATGTCTGCAGAGACCGCAGGTTCTCCACAGAATGTAAAGAGTCTTAAGCAATGTAGCAATGTGCAATTCAAACTGAGTGTGTAAAAATATCTATTGAGAGGGCGGCACCATGTTTTGTATGTTCTCCATGAGTTCATGTGGGTTTCCTCCTGGAACTCCAGTATCCTCCCACAACCCAAAGATGTACTAGCAAGTTAATTGGCTTCTGTAAAACCAATGGCCCTGGTGTGAGTGTGTGTCAGTGTCTGTGCCTCTGTGCACCCTGAAATGGACTCACGTCCCATCCAGGTTATTTCCTGCCTTGCACTCATTGCTTGGGGGGTAAACCCTGGTTCCTCCATTACCCTGCACTGGATAAAGCTGTTAGAAAATGGATGATGAATATCCATGGAGAACCAGATAATTCCTATTTTACAACACTGGGGAAGCTGAAAAACCACAATCACAGCCAGCAGCCAGTCCTCGAGTACTATCCTCACTTCGTCCTGTGTTAGTGAGGATAGCCCTGAAGGCCACCGTACACCACACAATCAGAAGACCCAGTAATCCTAGGTGACAGCTCTGCATCACATTTACAGTGTTACTAAATTTGTCCGAAAATGTTTACACTGG